CCCACCACCTGTCCAGCCCATTTTTCTTAAAATCTGATTCCCTATGTTGTCTTCTTTAATCTTCTGCTTGAAAGCTTCTTCTGCTGAGCGGCCCCGAATCTCATTTCTTGAGATGACATCTTCGATGGTGCCTTTCTTCAGGTTATTGACAACAGTCGGCTGTGTCTTTTTGAGAATTTTCACAGCTTCTTCTGCTGCCTCATGCTTCACAGATTTCTTAACCCCAACTGCTTCAGCAATGAACTCATTTTCTAGCATCACCTTGCACTTCCACCGCATACCCGTCATCCTTTCAAAGACATACTCCACTGTCATCTTGTTGAACTGAGCTGTGTCGTTAAGGGTGCACACAGGATTCTCAGAGTTTTCATAGATAACAAGATCCTTCAGGTCTTTCTTTTTGCCAGGAGCCCGGGATGAACAGCCCACTTTCTGAACCTGGGTTGTTTTGATGGGTGACACCTCAGGCTGCATCTTTTGAAGAATTTTCAAAGCCTCATCTGCAGCTGCATGTTTGCTAGTTTTCTTACTGCCATATCCCTCAGCTAAGCAGTGGTCCTGTAAATACACTCTACAGCGCCAGGAGCGGTTTGACATTAAGTCATATTTGTATTCAACGGACATTTTGTTAAATGAAGCAGAGTTGTTAAGTATCCCTATAGCGTCACTAGCATTTTCCGTGAGCACAAAGTCAGTCCAGTGCTTGGTTGAACTACTTGAACCTTGCAAAGGATCAGAACCAGCCTGCCCAGATGAAATATCTTTGTTGGCAGCTAGGAAGTCATCAAGCTGTTTGAGAGCAGGAGGCAATTCCGGTGGACACGTGCCAGACTCGCACACTATTAAATCCTCTCGATAGGTATGTTTGAACTTCCGTTGAGCAACTTTAACTTCTACAGGCTTTTGCAATAGCTTGACTGCTAAAGCTGTGGCTCGATCCCTGGATCCATTTTTGCTGCCAGCATAACCAGTGGTCAAGTACACATTGTGGCATCTCACTTCACAAGCAAAGCCATCTGTTGGAAGCTTCTTATTTTTTGGGAGGTCAGCAGGGGCAATTTCTTTTAGAGGAACATAGATATATTCAGGATTTGTTTTACATGCCTGAATCGAACGAGTCAACAGATACGTATAATTAACATTATCAGTTCCAGAGTAAGCATCTGGGTTAGCAAGATTCTTTCCAATTGCTGCAGACAGTCTGTCAATAAAATACTGCTTTGCTGTTATAACTGACTGGGGGAAAGTATCTGATGAAGACTGGAGAACTGAAGAGGAGGTGGAAAGTTGTGGCGCACCACTCTGTGTAGTGTCCATGCTGTTAAAAATCACACTGGGGCCTGTTGTCTGGCTACTTATATAACCAAAACCCACTGAGTTGGAGAACTGGGGATCTGCCTGCTGGGTATTTAAACTGTTAAAAACAAAATCCACATAGTTTTCAACTTGCTGTGCAGTGCTGTTTGTGTTTGCATCCTTGTTTGACTCCTGTGGTTGGTTGTCTGAAGGATCTTCTTTTCTTTCATCTTTCTCACTACTGGCTACAAAGTGTACAGGCTCAAAACGAGGTCTCACACGGAACCTGGGGAGGACTTTTTTGGGAGGCTCTGGATCTATGGAATGAGTGAAATTTATAGCATTAAAAAAAGTTCTACAACAAAGAGGGAATATGTACAGTACGATCACCTGCAGTAACTAGTAAGCTATTGAGTACAGGATTCCTGTTCCCCACAATCACGGATACCAAGGTTTTCTGCATGAAGATATATGCCATAGATAAATGGAACATTCACTCCTGGGCAAGTTATTGTAGAAATATTTCCGCTTCACTTACTATGTGAAAAACTGATTTTGGTATTACTCAGGTTCATAGATGTTAGAGACCATCAGATCATTTAACCTGATCTTCTATATAACACAGGCTAAACAATTCCAGTTACCCTGTAACTTACATAAGAATAGTCATACTTGGTTAGACCAAAGGCCCATCTAGCCTAGTATCCTGTCTTCTGACACAGACCAATGCCAGGTGCTTCAAAGGGAATTAATAGAACAGAATCTAATCACCAAGTGATCTGTTCCATCACCCATTCCCAGTTTATGGCAAACAGAGGCTGGGGCACCATCCCTGCTTCGCCTATCCAATAACCATTGCTGGACCTATCCTCCATGAATGTATCTAGTTCATTTTTGAACTATGTTATCGTCTTAAGTATTCACAACATCCTTTGGAAAAGAGTTCTGTAGTGGACTATGTTGTGTGAAGAAACATTTCCTTTGTTTGAAACCTGTTGCCTATTAATTTCATTTGATGACCCCTAGTTCTTGTGTTATGAGAAAGTAAATGACACTTCATTATTTACTTTCTCCAACAGAGTCATAATTTTAGAGACCTCAATCTCACCTTCCCTTACTTGTCTCTTTTCCAAGCTGAAAAGTATCTTATTAATCTCTCCTCATATGGAAGTTGTTCCTTACCCTTGATCATTTTTGTTGTCTTTTTCTGAATCTTGTCCAATTCCAATCTATCTTTGAGATGGGGAAACCACATCTGTTCGCAGTATTCAAGATGTGGGTGTGCCATGGATTTATATAGAGGCAAAACGATATTGTTTTATTATGTATCCCTTTCTTTGATTCCCAACATTGTTAGCTTTGACTGCTGCTTCAGGTTGAGTAGATATTTTCAGAGAGCTATCCACAATGACTTCAAGATATCTTTCTTGAGAAATAACAAGCTAATTAAGACCTCATGATGTTATATGTATGGTTGGGATTAGGGATATTAAATATCAATTAATTGAATAGTTGATTAACCTCATCAATTTTTATCAGTAAGTCAACTATCTATAGTCCCTGCAGTCAGTGTGTTCCAGTCCCATTCCCGAGGAGCCCTCTGCCACTCCACACTGCTGCCTCTGTAACAGAAACAGCAGCCTGGGGTACCAGGCGGGAGCTGGTCTGCAAGGGGAGCCAGTTTAAAAATCAGCTCCCCTCGTGGACCTGTCGCCCTGTGCTGCTGCCTCTGATAAAGAGGCAGCAGCCCCTGTCTGGGGGGGAGGGGAGAGAGGGGGCTCCTGGACCTGGCATGGGCCGGAACTGAGCTGGGTTGCCTGCCCACCTGGCTCCTAATACACTTGAAATGCAGAGCTGCAGTGGGGGTAGGTCCTCAACCCGCTGTGAGCCAGGACTGAGCTGGTGTGCTGGCCAGCCTGCTAAAAAGTGTACTGGCAGGAGGGATGGGGGTGGAACGTGTATAGTCTGTAGCATTGACATATAGGCTTTTGCTTAGCAGTTAATCGACGACACTATTACACCCCTAGTCAGGATTATGTTTTTCAATGTGCATTACTTTGCATTTATGAACATGGAATTTAATCTGCCATTTTGCTGCTCAATCACCCTTGATACACAACATTTGGGGAGGCAGTGTTTCTAGTGGCTAAAGCACTGGATTGGGACACAGAAGACATGGGATCTATCCGCAGCTCTGCCAGTGACTATAGCAAGTCACTTCTCTCTATGCTTCAGTTTTCCTGCCAGGAAAATGGTACTGAACTAATCACTTCATCATCACTTTAGAAGTTTGTGCCGCATTAAATCTGAATTTGTCTGGATTAGAAACAGGACACAATTTACATAAACAAGTCCTGTGAAGACAATCACTGCATAGCTAACCTAACAAAATTAAATATCTAATGCATAAACACAACAAACATAAGGACATCCTTGCAGTACAATTCTGTTCAAATAACTGTAAAAGATTTAACTCTCAGGCCCCAAATGTTGAGTATGTGACTTCAAACAAAAGGCCATCTCAAGCACTTGGAAAGAACAGTCGGATCCAGTGCTAGCCTGTCATACTAATGCATTGAGACACCTCTATTGCAGCATATTTATCATAACACAGTTCATTTGAGACTGATGAAAATGATACCCTGACATTTAAATCAGATGTCCTTGTCTTATATACCAGGGATGGAGAACATTTTTCAGTCAAGGGCCACTGGCTCTCAGAAAAAACAGTCAGGGGCTGCACACAAGTGAGAAAAAAAACACAACCCTCATTGGTGTGGCCCCTGACTAAGACAACAGACAGTCCCCACATTCCCCCTGCACACCAGAACCTAGGAGAGCCCAGCCTAGATTGTGTGATTAAGGTGGGACAGTGGGGGGAGACTGAAATGCCAGCTCCCCAATGCTGGGGGGACTGAGTCTCAAGGTCCAGATCCAGTCAAGCCGGGGGCTGCATCGACCCCTGGACCTGAGGTTTCCCACCTGTTTTAAACTTTTGAAAACTCCCCAAATACCTCAATTCTGATTACTTCTACCACAAACCAGCCACCAGCTGGGGAGAGGGAGAAATCCAGCTGGCTTGTGATGGTATAACTCTACGCACTAAGTTGTCTATTACTTATTTGGCCTGCAGCCATTTCCCCCTTAAAGCGTCAACTATTGACTACAGTCAGAGGCAAACTCTGTTCTGCTGTTACAGTGTCTGTGTTCCTAAAATCGTATATGATGTGGCAACGGAGAATGACGTCCCCTTTGATATGCAGGCAAATATACTCACTGGCATAGGGAGAGCAAGGTGGGGAGCAAGGTCTTTTTGGTGGTTTAGCACGAGGTACCAACTCGAATGATGGCATCTCCCCAATATCAATACCTTCAGCCATCTTGAGGACTTTCTCCATAACTTGCGAGCCATACCTGTGTTTAATTCAAGGACAGATAGCATTAGAACCTGCTACACTAAAGCATCACACTGCCAGGTTTTTACCAGATCACTCCCACTTCTAGTAACAAACCCCTGGTGTCTTTACAACCATTTCAGTACTGGCACCGAGGCAGGCTGCAAGGCCATATACCTCACACAAGGAAAAATATGCCTGTGTGAAATATGTTGCACCATATTGTGTAGCTTGAGGAAACTGCCTAATTAAGGACCAGAAAGATCTCCGAGACATTATAAGCAAAACCCTGGTTAAATCTGGCTTGATCCAATACTCAGTAAAGTCAACAGGTTTCTTTCCAATGACTTTACTGGCATTGAACCAGGCTCTTATACCTCACACAAGGAAAAATATGCCTGTGTGAAATATGTTGCACCATATTGTGTAGCTTGAGGAAACTGCCTAATTAAGGACCAGAAAGATCTCCGAGACATTATAAGCAAAACCCTGGTTAAATCTGGCTTGATCCAATACTCAGTAAAGTCAACAGGTTTCTTTCCAATGACTTTACTGGCATTGAACCAGGCTCTAATAAAC